TGCGGAGCATCTCTTGGCATATGCATACTGGTGCATCCTGCCAGCCTGCTGGGGCACCTCCTCTGACTTCTGGCCAGGAATTTCTCGATTGCTCCCCACAAACCCTGGGGCAGGAGGTTGCTGTGAGAAGGCTAACGCTGAGGCTGGCAGTGGAACTGGAGAGGGAAGAGGGGAACTGTGTCCTGGAGACATTTGCAGGTGGATTAGGGAGAGACAGGCTCTGGCTTTGTCTCTTCACCCTTACCTCCTAGTTCACAACGAGGCCTTCCACGGGCACAGACGACCAACGCCTGAGTCTTCTGTACCCTTCCGTGGAGTCCATGATATACCCACCCATTCTACACATTATTGAGAGAGAACCCCTGTCCACACAGGCTCTCCTTCCATGGTGACAGCACCCTGTGCTGGGGGAAAGAGAGGAGAAAAGCGAGTAATGGGAAGATGCAGCCAGTGGGTGCTGGAGTGGAGGGCAGGCAGGGCCTGCTTCATGAGGGAGATGGGGCCAGAGGGTCTCCTGGAGGAGACACGTTGCCTAGGAAACGAGTGATAGGGGTTGGGAAGGAGACTCGAGAGGTTGGACCAGTCCCAGAGAAAGCACAAATAAGGCAGAGACCCAAGGTTGGGAGGAAGACAGAGAGCCAGACAGGAGTCAATTTTTAAGTTTTGTTTGTTTTTTATTTTTATGTATGGATATTTTGTCCTGGGTGTGTCATGTGCATGCTGATGCCAGAAGCGGTCAGAAGAGGGCGCTAGATCCCCTAGAACTGGAGTTGCAGATGGCCGAAAGCCATCACGTGGGTGCTAGAAACCTCGTTGAGAGCAGCCAGTGCTCTTAACCACCGGCCATCCCTCCAACCCCACCTGTTAAGTTTCAGAGGATTTGGAAGCTACCAGCTGGAGGATGGGGCTGGGAAGAGGTGGAGGGGAACAGAGTACAGGTGACAAAGAAGGAGGATGGAATAGAGAGAGAGAGAGAGAGAGAGAGAGAGAGAGAGAGAGAGAGAGAGAGAGAGAGAGAGAGAGAATATACTGGACCGACAGCTTCCAAAACAATACAGAGAAACCCTGTCTTGTAAAACCAAAAAAAAAAAAAAAAAAAGGTGTGTGCCACCAACACCTGGCTGAGGTGTGCAACTTTAATACCAGTGTTCAGGAGGCAGAGGTAGGAGAATCTCTGTGAGTTGGAGGCTGACCTGGCCTACATAGCAAATTCCAGGCCAGCCAAGGCTACGTAGTGAGATCTTGTCTCAAAAAAAAAAAAAAACCAGAAAAACAAAAACTCTCGGGCTGGAGAGATGGCTCAGAGGTTAAGAGCACTGACTGCTCTTCTAGAGGTCCTGAGTTCAATTCCCAGCAACCACATGATGGTTCACAACCATCCATAATGAGATCTGGTGCCCTCTTCTGGCATGCAGACAGACATACATGGAGGCTGGATGTTGTATTCATAATAAATAAAATAACTCTCACATAAATAAATAAATCAATAAATAAGTACTACCATTAACTTAAAGTTTGAAAGGTGTATTGTGGGGGGACAGGGCTTCTCTGTAGCTTTGGAGGCTGTCCTGGAACTTTCTCAGACTGGCCTTGAACTCACAGAGATCCACCTGTCTCTGCCTCCCAAGTGCTGGGATTAAAGGCGTGGGCCGCCACCACCTGGTGAGACTGGATTCTTTCCTTAGGCCTGCCTCTATGTGCAACCTAGAACACCTTCCCCACCCTGAAGCCTCTGGTTCTCAAGGCACACGGGGCTCTAAGCCCCTGACTGAGGCTTGTGATGTGGTTTTATTTGGCTTTTGGAGACAGGGTTTTTCTGTGCAGCCTTGGCTGACCTGGAGCTCACTTTGTACACCAGGCTGACCTTGAACTCACAGAGACCTCTGCCTTCCTCTGCCTCCTGAGTGCTGGGATTAAAGGGGTGCGCTACCACTGCCCGGCTTATTTCTTTTCTTTTTTACTACTGATGTGTTTGTAGACACCCACTTGGCCTTGCCTCTGCTTGCTCAGTCATCCAGCTGTGCTAGTGATGTCACCACTGGGGAGACAGTGACTTCAGGTGGGGTTTGCCCTGCCCCAGGCTCCTCTGGCTCAGTGCCAGGTATGCTTTTTCCTGGGCACCTTTGGGGGTTATTCTTCTTTCTGACCACCCGGCTGTAGATTGTATGGGGGTGGGGTTTCCGGTCGGGGTCTTTCTCAAGCAGACCTGCAGCACCTCAAGGGCAAGGGAGGACGGGAGTCTCCAGGGTGGACATGAACTCTGTCCTTACACCTGGACAGCTGGGAGCTGTGCACAAGTCACTTGCATTCTCTGGTCCACCGAAACACAGCCTCTGGGCTCCTCCTGGTGAGGGGAGGCAGGGTACCCGGACCAGAGTGTGTGGCTCTGGAGCTCAAAGCCACAAGAAATGATTCTGTCAGCATTGTGGATAGGACCAAGGTGACTGGGTTTTCATGGCTTGAAATGACACCCATGACCAGACGGTACACAGCAACTGTCTCTAACCCAGTCCTGGACCCAGCTACCTCCTGCTAGCTCTCAGAAGCTGCTCTTGGCCCAGCCAGGGCAGTGGCTTCCTCTCCTTCCTTCCTTCCTTCCTTCCTTCCTTCCTTCCTTCCTTCCTTCCTTGTTTTCTTTCTTTCATTTCTCCCTCCCTCTCTTCCTTCCGCTCCGCTCCCCCTCTCTTAGACTTCTTTTTTTTTTTTTTTTTTTTCTTTTTCGAGACAGGGTTTCTCTGTATTGTTTTGGAGGCTGTCCCGGAACTCGTTCTGTAGACCAGGCTGGGCTCGAACTCACAGAGATCCACCTGCCTCTGCCTCCCGAGTGCTGGGATTAAAGATGTGAGCCACCAACGCCCGGCTGGCTGTTCAAGACAGGGTTCATTCTATGTGTAGCCCTGGCTGTCCTGGAACTTGCTCTGTAGACCAGGCTGGCCTGGAACTCACAGAGATCTGCCTGCCTCCAGAGTTCTGGAACTTAAAGGTGTAGAGTGTGTGCCATCAATCTTCCTGATGGCTGGCATTGCTCTCCGCTGGCTTCTTAAGTTACACTGTAACAGCATCCAGTGCACAGAACCATGGTGACATCTCATCTAGTGCAGAGAGCCAATGGGGACGGAGGATCATGTATATACACCCTGGTGGCCTCTCACTTGGGCCCCATTTCTGTGAAGGTCAATAAAAGTTGGGGCAGAACCGGAGTGGATGCCCATGTGCTGCCTCTGGGGTATAAGCTACACAGACCAATTTTTCAGGTAAGCGGAGCTAAAAAGCAAATCATTAGTTTTGATTCTTCTTGTTCCTCTCTATGTCACCCAATAAGCGATTAAAAACCCCAGCTGCACACATTTGGTATCTGAGGGGAGCAGACACTAGAACATCAGGTCGTCATGGATGGCAGTTGACAGAGATGAGCACAGGAGGGAGCACTGGGTGCTGGCGACGCTGGTGTTGGGATGGGTGGGCGCTTGATGCTGGGAAGCAGGGTGCTGAAATAGGTACTAGGTTGGCGTGCCAGGTGCTGGAGGGAAGTGAGTACTGGGGTAGGTGCTGGGTGCTATGTGCTACTGTGAGTGCTGCATCCTGGGTACTGAATGGGCCTGCTTGTGGGGAGCTGCCCAGGGCTGGGGGCTGCAGAGTCGCTATTTTACAAGGTAGTCTACTGTGATCCATCTTAAAGGAAGTGGAAAGCGTTGAGGCTATCCAGGGAGGGAACTGCAAATTCTTGGACTCTTGGACACAGACATATCGGGCTAGGTCATGATGAGCGCTAATCAGCCGTGAAAGTAAGAAAGTAGAGAGGGACCAGAAGGGCAGGGGCTTGATGGTTTGTACCAAGTGGCCTTCGCCACCTGTGGAGCACTTAACCTCTGGCCCCGTTTCCCCAGTCCCTAAGGGCAGGGCAATTCTGCCAGTTCCCAGGTGTCACAGATCCTTAGGGAACTCTGTCTGCGCGTTGGCCAGGCTTGGCATCTGTTTGATGGGTGGATAACTAAGCAAGCCTGTCCTGGCCGGCTTGGCAAACTTGCCCCACCTTGGTGTGTCAAGCACTTCCAGCCAGGCTCGGTTGGAACCACTTTCTTCTCTGACTGCTCTCAGAGCCTTTCACCCCTGTGTGGAGCTGCTCCCCGAAGGAGGTGGAAAGAGCGTGGGTTGGGGATTCACGCTGTTGACCTAGGCTAGATCTCAGCTGCTTCCTTTCTGGGTGGCCTTGGCAAGGGCTCCCTTTCCTGAGTCACACACACTCCTGGTCTGTAAATCAGAGGTATGCACACGTGGGCTGGGCTGTAGGGTCGCCAGTGGCCAGTGAGGCAAGAGGTACAGGGAGCCAGGCCTAAGCTGGCAAGAGGTCATAGCCATCTGGGTGGGAGAAGGCATGAGTTGGTGGGTCTAGGATTTCTGGCAGTCTGAGTTGCCTGCAGCAGGCCACTTTCCTTCTCTGACCTTTACCTGGTTCCCAGATAAATGGCATCACTTGCCCTTTGGGGTCGGGAACTAAGAGATGGATGTTTGGACTTGTGGGGCTCCACCTGGGAATGCGAGGACGTGGGGAGGTGTTGGAGGCCGGAGGCAGCGGCAGTTCAAAGTGTCTGGGGCAGACGATGGGCGCTGTGTGCGGGGCACGGGTGGGGCACCAGGGGGGCAGAGTGACACCCTGGCAGGAATGTGCCAGGCCTGTCTGGGAATGCCAGCCCTTGCTGGCTCCCCTTTGGCAGCTCCCTCATTGGTAGCCCAGGCACTCAGAACACTGTGGGTCAGGGGTCAGAGGCTGGACCAGCAGAAGGGATGGGGAGGGTGTGGCAGGCCTTCCAAGGTCCTCCCAAGCCTACGCCACCTCTCTGCGGCTGGGAAGAGTAATGTGGGGAGGCATCAGATTTGGTGTGCCGCTGCCTGACAGAGCACCGACTAAATCAAGTTCTAGCCTCTCTCTGGGACTCAGTTTGCCCACCTGTGCAAAATGCTGACCACCTGTGGGGCCTCCAGTAGCTGAACCACCTCCTCAGTTTACCTCCTTCCTCCCTGTGGAAGGGAACTTTGCCTGGCACGATCACCATTGTCTCTGGGCTCTCCCAAGGAGCGAGAACATGCTGCCTGAAGGCGCTTCCTCTGACTGAGGTGAGACCTGCTCCCAGTTTTTTTCCTATAGGCCCCACAGGGCGCTGGGAGGGGGATCCCAGTGGCAGGTGGGTGGGTGGGCAGGCAGGGCATTTCTGCTTGCCCCTTCTTTGTCCCCTTGCCTGCCACACTGTAGTTCTTTGGTGGCCTTCCCGTCTCTGGGCCCCTCAGCCCCTCCTAAGCCATCTCCCCAGAGTCTTGTGTGGATTTCCCACCCAGACACGATGCCTACATTCGCTTGCTCTTCCCCAACCACCAGGCCAGACCGTTTCCATTCCTGTCACTTTAGAGAAGGGGAACTGAGGCCCAGGGACATGAAGGGAGGAGCTCCAGGTCCAACAGCTGGAGGCGTTGGGATTTAAGCCCTTGTCCTTGGTACTCTTGTGAGTCCTGATGTCACAGTAAAGTTTAGACAGCCCAGCAGGTGATGCAGATGACCAGCCCCTGCCAGGTCCAAGCCCTCCTCAGGGCCTCAACGTGTTGTTGAAGGCATTTCCTTTCTCCCTCTCTGCAGCGCAGTGGGGGTTAAGGGGTTGAGCAGCCTGAGCCTGTTTGCCTAAGGCTACATTTTGGGGTCAGGGAGTTCAGCCAGGATCTGGAGCCTGGGGACAGTCCCTATCTAAAGCAGTGGGGGGTGCCCTCATACAGTCAGGGGGGCAGACACTAGCCTTTATGGGATTCCCCAGCTTGTGAGTCCAGAGATTGTCTCATGAGCCCCCGAGGTGGCCCAGGCTGCTGATGACTTCATGGGTCTTTCCCACACCTGAGTCACTGTGGCTCACCCTGACCCTGTGGCACCTTTGGAGGAATGGGAGCTGGCCAGCCTGGGGGTGGGGTGCGGTGGAGGTGTGCTGAGCATGTCTGGGCTCCGCTGAATAATGAACGGGGAGACAGAAGGAAGGGGGGTGCTCCGGCTGGTGTAGCCTAGGGAATTCCTCCCCCCTCCAGATCTAGTCATCTGTGGTTCCCCTACCCCACCTCACTGCCTCCTAGATTCTCCAGCCAGGGCCTGTGTCTGCACCAGAGCCGCTGAAAGGGAACGTCCAGTCTCGTGGCTCCGCCCCCTGACAAGCATGAATTGGCCCAGGTGAGAGAGTTGACTCAGTTTTCCCACCTGGGGAAAGGGTCACTCTGTCTTCCCCAGGGCTTGGAACTGAGCTTGAGGGCTAGTCTTAGAAGACAGTGGGTTGCCAGATAGTGGGGGTTGGGGGACTGTCACTGAGTATCTAAGTATCAGGTTCCTGACATCCCCTCAGTAGATGTCATCTCCAATCCTTACTTATCTCAAATTCTTTTTTTTTCTTCGAGACAGGGTTTCTCTGTGGCTTTGGAGGCTGTCCTGGAACTAGCTCTGTAGAGCAGGCTGGCCTAGAACTCACAGAGATCTGCCTGCCTCTGCCTCCTGAGTCCTGGGATTAAAAGCGTGCATCACACCCAGTCTTACCTCAAATTCTTCAAGTCTGCTTTTGCAGAGGCCCCAGCTGGATTCCCAGTGTCCGAGTGGAGGCTAACAACCACCTGTAACTTCTTAAAAATAGAATAAATCTTTAAATAAATCCCCAAAGTGTAGTGCGCATAGTAAAAAATGCCTTTTAGACATGTAGAAATAGCTCAGTCAGGATCCTCAGGACACCCAAGGCTGCACCTGATAACCAGAAGCCAGTGACATCACTCACTCACGATAACCAGACACAAGACTAGAACCTCGTGCTGCCCGCTGGACAGCATATGAGCAGAGGCCAAGAGCAATGCTGGGCTCTGCACAGCTGGGGAGACGCCACCTCGATCTGCTCTACAGCGGAAGATCCCCCAGGATCCTGACCCTCCAATCAGAGACTTCTGTTAGAGACTGGCCCGGACCTTCAGCTAAGACACATCGCACAGGTGGGCATCGGTGGACAGATAGGCTTAGGACCTTAGTCAGGAATTCAGAGTGTGAACCCTGGCTGATGACCCTCAGCATAGTAAAATATAACTTTTGTTATGCTAACCACACTTTCGCTCGTGATACAAAGCCCCCATGTCTTCATTTTGTAGCTGTGGATACTGAGGTTCAAAGTGGAGGAGAGACACACAGCCCTCGTGCAGTGAGGTCCGACTCAAGGCTGGGGCTCTTGTTCCCAGTGTAGCTTTCTGTGCTGGTTCTGACTTCTCAGGTCCCTTAGGAGTCCACCCTGCCTCCTTAGAAAGCCACAGGGGCTTGAGGACAGGCAGGAGAGGAAGGGAGGCAGAGCCGATCTCTAGTTATTCACCCCTCCTGTGCCATGGTGTCCAGAGGTAGCTAGCAGTGAGGTAAACCCCATACCTGCCTCCCTGTCCCAACTCATATCAGTCAAGCCTTCTGCTCACTGCCCTATTGTAAATCTTTAAACAACCTGGTGCCTAACTAATTACCCTGAACCAGAGGGTCCCTTGAGAGCACCTGGTGCCCGAGGCCAGAGTATCCTCTCCTCTGTATCCCAGACCCTTTCCCCCTCAAGTCCTCATCCCCAAGGTGAGCAAGAGATATATAGACATGGCCTGCCCCAGATGTACAGACAGATACACAGACATGGCCTGCCCCAGATGTACAGACAGATACACAGACATGGCCTGCCCCAGATATACATGCAGATATATAGACATGGCCTGCCAGATGCAGACATAGGCCTGGCCATCATGGTCATGAGAGACCAACTCTGTTCTGGGCCCTGGGCCACAGCAGCCCAGTCCACTGCAACCATTCCACTTGGCTCAGTTGGCAAAGGTCCTTGCTAGAGGCCGGGCTTTGGTGGCGCACGCCTTTAATCCCAGCACTTGGGAGGCAGAGGCAGGTGGATCTCTATGAGTTCGAGGCTAGCCTGGTCTACAGAGCGAGTTCCAGGACAGCCTCCAAAACAATACAGAGAAACCCTGTCTCGAAAAGCCAAAAACAAACAAACAACAGCAACAACAACGAAAAGGTGCTTGCTAGCAAGCCTGACAACCTGATTAATCTCTGAGACCCTCAAGGTGGACAAGAGAATTGACTTCCCCAAAGTTGTCCTCTGAGCTCCATGTGGGAGCCATTGAAGATCTCTCTTTCTTTCTCATACATACACACACACACACACACACACAAGTAAATAAATGAAAATTCAAGATGTAGTTTAAAAAATTCAAAAGAGGGCTGGGCGCTGGCGGCCCACGCCTTTAATCCCAGCACTCGGGAGGCAGAGGCAGGTGGATCTCTGTGAGTTTGAGGCCAGCTTGGTCTACAAGAACAAGTTCTAGGACAAGGTCCAAAGCTACACAGAGAAACCATGTCTGAGAAAAAAACAAAAAAATAAAAAACCCAAAATAGTGACAGGTGCCTTTAATCCCAACACTTGGGAGGCAGAGGCAGGCAGATCTCAGTGAGTTCCAGGACAGCCTGGTCTACAGAGCAAGTTCCAAGACAGCCAGAGATACACAGAGAAACCCCATCTTAAAAACAACAAAACAAGCCGGGCGTTGGTGGTGCATGCCTTTAATCCCAGCACTTGGGAGGCAGAGGCAGGCAGATCTCTGTGAGTTCGAGACCAGCCTGGTCTACAGAGTGAGTTCCAGGACAGCCTCCAAAGCCACAGAGAAACCCTGTCTCGAAAAACCAAAAAAAAAAAAAAAAAAAAAAAAAAAACCATGACTGAGCTGGGCACGATGATTCGGTGATGCACATCTTTAATTTCAGCACTCAGGAGGCAGAGGCAAGTGGGGTCTCTAGCCAGAACTACATTGAGAACTGTCTTAAACAAAAATAAATAAATAAGCAAGCAAACAAACAAATACCCAAACCTTAAACAAGCAAAACCATATGTTCTCCCGACCTCCCCCAAAAAGACCAAAAATTCTAACTAGGAGCTCGTGCCCATAATCCTAGCACTTGGTAGACTGAGGCAGGAGGATCACTGGGACTCAAGTCCAACCTGGGTTACAGAATGAGACCCTGTCTCAAGACACACAAATAAACAAAATGTACATGAGGGGGCCCAGCTCTGGGGAGATTGTTTGCTTCCTGTGTGTACAGCCACCACCAGTGTGAGCCCCAGCATAGAAAAGAACCCCCCCCCAATAGGCCCTCACTCCATGCAGAAGAGAGGGAAGGGCCAGGAACCTTTGTGGCCTGTGTAGTGGGCTGACACCTCAGGATGTGACCTTATTAGGAGTATGTGTGACCTCATGTAATTAGAGGAAGGATCTCAAAATGAGGTCACCCCGGATGGGAGGGGCCAAAATCCAGGTAGTGTCCTTATGAGAAGGAGTGGGCTACTTGAAAGCCAACCTACGGGGAGGAAGCTTGTGGAAAGAGGCAAAGCTGAGCGGCATTAGGAGCCACCAAGAGCAGGAAGAGGCCAACCTTCCCTGAAGTCCTGGGGTGCAGCATCCACTTGCTAATTGCTGGTTTTGGATGTCTAATGTGCAGGACTATGGCAGTAATGTCTGTTGTACGAGTTTCAGTGGTCACCCAGGGAAACCATGGCACACTCCGTCACCCACCCTCTCCAGCCAGCTGTGTTCCTCGGCTTGCCTACCCAGGCTTGTTTTGTGTGTGTGTATGTGTGAATGTGCATGTGTACACATGTGTTTATACTTGTGAATGTCAACCTCCATTTTTATTCTTCAGACACAAGCTTGCAGTAATCCCTCTGCCTCAGCCTCCCAAGTGCTAGGATTATAAACACGCGTACTACCATATCTACCTTGCTTGATCTAGTTCTCTACCTGCTTGGGGTATGTCAACATAAAGGATGCCTTGGAACCTTGGGGTCTTTCCTGGGAGTTCTGACAAGGGCTGCGAGGGTACCATGCTCATTCTGAGTACCCTGTTTCTCCATGCCCTTGGGGCTGCCTTCTAGCCGAGGTGCCAGGCCAGTGGGGCCTCTGTAGTCACACACAATGATCCCTCTGTGCCTGCTACAAAAGAAGATGTGAATGGAAAGGGCAAGGGTGAGGGCAGAGGAAGTAAGGCTGCCTATACTAGAACAGAGTTTGGCCTTAGCAAAGGTTGGGGGTCCAGAATTGGGCATGAGACTCTGGGCTAGACATTAGTTCACTGCTTTGGGGCTACCTGCGTTATCACTGTGATGATATCAGAACAACCTCTCTGCCCAATTGTTTATCAATTCTGATACTGAGAGATCAGGTCACACGACCTTCCCTGGAGTCTGGGCTCTCTCTGTAGGCATGCACAGTCCATGTGACACGATGATAATGGATGGGTTTCTGGCCTCAAGAAACTTGCAAATGTAGGGATCAGAGAGGTGGCTCAATGGTTAGGTGTACCTACTGCTCTTTCAGAGAACCTGGCTTCTGACTCCAGCACCCACATTGGTTGGCTCACAACCACCTGAAACTCTAGCTCTGGGGGAATCTGACACCTTCTTCTGACCTCTGTGGGTACCCAAACTCACACACACACACACACACACACACACACACACACACACACACACACACAAAAGTAAATCTTTTTGTTTTGTTTTGTTTCTTGAGACAGGGTTTCTCTGGGTAGCCTTGGCTGTCCTGGAACTCACTTGATATACCGGGGTGGCCTTGAACTCAGAGATCTGCCTGCCTCTGCCTCACAAGTGCTGGGATCAAAGGTGTGTGCCACCACCTGCTAACACAAATAAAACAAGCAAACTTTACCGTCTACTTCCCAGCTTTTGGGAACCTGGTCATCATGTTCTGAGGACAAGCCCCACGTGGGAAGCAGCATAACCCTGGGTGTGAGTCTCACAGAGCCAATGGACTATCAAGTCTTACAGAGCCAATGGACTATCAAGCCTGTCTAGGGCCCCACCTGATGCCACCCTGAGGAGAGACACCTCTGCTGAGCCTAGCTCACTTGAAGATGTGGGAGCCAGATGTGGGAGTCAAATGAATGTTTGCTTTAAAAAACAAAAATCAAACAAACAACCCTCTCTCTCTCTCTCTCTCTCTCTCTCTCTCTCTCTCTCTGTATGTGTGTGTGTGTGTGTGTGTGTGTGTGTGTGTGTGTGTGTGTGTGTGTGCGTGTGTACCGGGGCTCATGTGATGGTCAAAGGACAACCTCAGGTGTCATTCCTAATTTTCTACCTTAGGCTAGCTGGTCTAAGAGCTTCTGGGAAAATCTGTCCCTACCTCTTCTCCCTCCACAGGAGTTCTGGAATTACAGCCATCACTGCCATGTCAGGCTTCTCGTGAGTCCTAGGAATCCAAGCCCAGGTGCTTGCACTTGTATGGCAAGCATTTGAACCACTGAGCCATCTCCCAGCTCCTGCTCAGCCTAAAATTTCAGGCCTGTATCTCCATCGCAATGGATAATTGCAATTTTTTCTAGTTGGGTGTGGTGGTGCACACCTTTAATCCCAGCACTCAGGAGGCTGAGGTAGGTGGATCTCTGTGAGTTTGAAGCCAACTTGGTCTGCTTAGCCTTGGCTACATATAGAGACTCTGTTACCAAAAAAAAAAAAAAAAAAGGCAATTCTTCTGTGGCCATTAATGTCACTGTTGATGCCTGTAAGCTGGTGAGGAGCAGAGGCTTTGTGGGAACACTCATCAGTGGGTGCCAAGCTCTTCTCCTGGCCCTGGCTTCTGAGTCTGCCGGTAGCAACTGTTTTGTTTTGTTTTTTGTTTTTTTTTTGAGACAGGGTTTCTCTGTATTGTTTTTGGAGGCTGTCCTGGAACTCACTCTGTAGACCAGGCTGGCCTCGAATTCACAGAGATCTGCCTGCCTCTGCCTCCCGAGTGCTGGGATTAAAGGCGTGCGTCACCATGCCGGTGACAACAGTAATAATACCTCATGAGTGTGGCTGAGGGTGAGAGCGATAGACAAGGGACTTGGTGACATGGAAGTGTCCCATCAACAGCCATTGTTTATTAT